GAGAGAGAGAGAGAGAGAGAGAGAGAGAGAGAGAGAGAGAGGCCATGTTACTGCTTCAGACTTTTCCAAGTGTATTCCTATCATCCCCACACAAAGCTGGCATTTTAACACTCGTGGGCTTTCTAAGTCTGGCAATATTTTATAACTGTATCTATACTGAACGTGTATAGACTTTTCATTACCATTTTTAAATGACTATAGAATGACTATGCACACAGCCCTTACATCGGGTGTTATACATGAGATGATTGACAGCACCCAGAAGGAGTCTGTAACACTATGCAAACACTATGAAATTTTACATAAAGACCTGAGCTTCTGTGGATTTCAGTCTCCTGGGGGGTCTTGGAACAGAGCTAGCATGAATGCCAAACACCAAGTTTATCTGCTTCATGAATAGTCAAAAGAAAAATAGGAAACAAAGATGCCAAAGAGGGTAGACATGTGTCCAGGATTAAATGTGAATACTGCTCTTCCAGAGGACCAGAGTTCAGTTCCCAGTGTTTGCATCAGACATTTGGCAACCTTCTATAAGTCCAGCTCCAGGGAATCTGACATCCTTATTTGGCCTCTGCAGGCACCTGCACTTGTGTGTGTGTGTCTCTGTGTGTGTGTGTGTGTGTGTGTGTGTGTGTGTGTGTGTGTGTGTGTGCATTCGTGCACATTACGATGATGATGATAAATTCTTTTTTTTTTTTTTTTTTTGGTTTTTCGAGACAGAGTTTCTCTGTGTAGCCCTGGCTGTCCTGGAACTCACTCTGTAGACCAGGCTGGCCTCAAACTCAGAAATCCACCTGCCTCTGCCTCCCAAGTGCTGGGACTAAAGGCGTGTGCCACCACTGCCTGGTGATGATGATAAATTCTTAAGACATAAAAGGATGCTGAAAGCCACAGAACTAGGTGCATGGCCCAGGTAAAAATGGACCAGAGTCTTCTGCACCCTTAGTTTGTTGATCTCTCGCATCCCTTCTGGCACACAGCCTTGGAGATGCTAAATTTAAAAAGGTACTGGTACTGACTATTTGTGAGCCAGTCCCTATAAGAGAGACAAAAATATGCAATAGAAGATGGGGCAAAATGATGGAAGCTGGCCACTCTGCAGTAGGCACCATCCAAAACCGAAGCTCAGACACAGCAGCTTCAGACTCCTGTTGAATCCCTGGAAGAATCCATGTGTAAAGATCTTACCATGGAGACTAGTGTTCTGTCTCAAATGGCAGAGAGCCTCAGGGTGACCCAGAGGCCTATGAAGAGAGAACTATCTGGTCCCCTCCCTGAAGGCTTCTGAGCTGGAGATCAGGAAGTGATGTGGGATCTACACTCTGCAATTTCCCAGTACCACTCTCAGAACCAGGACCCGGGTACTTTCCAGGCCTTGGCAAACATTGAGGACACATGGTTTCATATAACAGCAATACCAATTATTAACAGCCACAAATACTATAGTTCATTAAGTGCCTGCTAGACATGAGGAGTGGTTCTGTCACTATTTGTAACTTTTGTCAACTTCTAAGAAGTGTTCACCTCATCTTACACACAGGAGAATTTGTCTCAGATGAGTTCAACAAATTGACCATAGTGGTTAAGAATATAGCTTAAGCCGGGCTGGAGAGATGGCTGATGTAGAGAATACTGGATGTTTTTCTAGGGGACCCAGGCTCAATTCCCAGCAGCAGCAGCAGCAGCAGGAAGGAGGAGGA